AGAGTTCCTGCCAGGCAGTGGCTCCCGCCAGGGGGGAGCCCTGTGTGGCTTCACCCCAAGGCCTGCCTGCTTGTTTTGCCTTGTAGAAACTCCAGGAGGAGGAGGAAAAGGTGGAGAATGTGGAGAAAGCAGACAATGTCACCAGCAAAGCACCCACCACTTTGTCTGAGGAGCATCTCTGAGACAAGAAGGGGTTTGCAACTCAGGGAACACGGATACCCCCACCTCTTCCGTCAACATAGCTCACTGCCAGCGCCAGGGTCTTCACAGGGGCAGCTTGTGGAGGGAACCAGCTGGAATATTTGTGGCTTGGACGGCAGTGCCTAGCTTCTGGAACCTACTCAAGAGCCTGCACGGTCTAGTTGGGGGAAATCGCACCTTTCACCAAATGCAGATTCGATTCCCGCCCCTCCCCTTGTAGGTTCTGGGACCTGGTGTTGGGAGAGGCTGGTGAGTCGTGGAGTCAGTCCTGGCTTTGTGCCTTGCCTTCCCTCTTCACCTCCATCCCTCATGGAGAAAGCCTGCAAAACTGTCATGGAAAGAAAGCTTATTCAGATATTAACTTTTTCTAGTGTCTCAAGACCCTTAGAAGCCCAGTTCTAAGGAGCGGCAGCTGCGCTGGATGAGGGTCATTCTGGGGTCATTGGACTGACCGCCAACATTCTGTGGGAGAGAAAGTACCATCGGAACAAACCCGCGGGTCCTCTGGGCCTCTGTTCTCCTGGCCTAAAGTTGGGGGCTGTCTCCAAACCCTCTTTCTTAAGAGCTGATCAAACCAAACATCAATAAAACTTGAGAAAGACTTTGTTGTAGCCTTGAAGGAGAAACTGATTTGGGAAAGGTAGCCACCCGGGCGGGGTGGGTGAGGGTGCTGGGGGCTACCTGCTGGGTGTGTTTGTGCAGGCCCGTATTTGGGAACTCAGGGAGCTCTAATAGGGAACAGGGACGTTTTTATTCTACAAAATCAGCCCTTGCCCAGAGATTCTGTGTGTCGTTGTCACCTCTGACACCTTCATATGGACGCTGCCTAGAAGAACTAGGTGTTTGTTTTCTCTGGAGAGAGGGGAGACCAGCCACTGTCCTGCAACCTTTACTGAAATTGAACCTCGATCCCTTCCATGCTGAGAAATCGAAAGCTGCTTCTGAGATGAGAGGGAATGTGGCCTTTGACATGGGAACCAGATCTGCTTGAATGAAGCGTATCCCCCTTGGGTGGGGACAGTATTTGCACACCCACCCACTTCTAGCACTAACCTTTTATCAGACATTCCGGATCTTAGGGGAGTCCCTTTCAGCCAGCCCAAGCTGACCCCCTCTCCTGGTGAACCTGCTATCTGGCTATACTCATAGGCTTGGGTGGGCAGCATCTGCTGAAAAGAAGACATTTTGGTAATTTCTCCTGTACACTGAGCAGCTGCAGGCAGGACCACTGTGCTGGTTTGCTGTGGCTACTGCCCTGGACACAGCATGCCAGAGCAGCCTGTGCTGGCAACAGAGCTGGGTGCTGGGGCCACTGCCAGAGAGGCTGGGGTGTGTGTGTACGGACACTGGATGTAATAAAAGAAGTTCACACTGCAGGTGAGGGGACTGAGTGAGGGTGGAGAGAATGCCTTACATTGTTTTTTTTAAAGAGATATGTTTTCATTAATTTTTTAGAGAAACATCAATGTGAGAAATATCAATTGTTTGCCCCCCATATGTGCCCCGACCAGGGATCGAACCCCCAAAACCTAAGTATGGGCCCTGACTGGAATTGAACCTGCCACCTTTTGGCATATGGGTTGACACTCCAACCAACTGAGCAACCCGGCCAGCGCAGTATGCCTTACTTTTTGACAGGGAGAAAGGTGTTTACTCATCATTCCTTCAAAATGTGTTAACAAAAGGTTTACCAAATCCGTTGCTTTGTTTTGAAACATAATTTGCGTTTTTCTATTTGTAAACCAGATGTTGTAAAGCAATAAAAGATTTTCCAAGTGGTCTGCCTTGTCACTTGATGGGGCAGAGGGGGGTTTCTGGCAGTCAGTCCCTCTGAGGTTATTGCACATTTCTGAGTGCTGGAGGATGTGGTGGGCGTGGGGGCTAGGGGAGCAGCTCCTGGGGCCTCCCCGAGAAGTGGTTCTCTTTTTACTGAGGTGTTACCATCCCAGTGGGATATACATATATATATATAAATCAAAATAATTGATTTTTTACAGAGAGGAAGGGAGAGGGATAGAGCGTTAGAAACATCGATGAGAGAGAAACCTCGATCAGCTGCCTCCTGCACACCTCCCTCTGGGGATGTGCCCGCAACCCAGGTACATGCCTTTGACCGGACTTGAACCTGGGACCCTTCAGTCCCCAGGCCGACGCTCTATCCACGGAGCTAAACCGGTTAGGGCACCAGTGGGTTACTTTTTAAAGACGAGGCTGTAAAGGTTACTGTCGGCCTTTGTGGGAGACGGCAACTCAACGTCCAACACATGACCCTGACTGCTGTCTGTACTGCGTACCCATGAAGGCTCACCCAGTGTGAGTGCTGATGGGAGAGCCACTGTTGTTTTTGGCTCTGCCTCAAAGGGTGGCTGGTGTTTGTCTTACAGTCACCCCAGCTGGGCTCCAGCGAGCTCTAGCCAGAGGCCACAGTTCCGGCATCTGCAGTTGTGATTTTCCTTCTGAACTGTCCTACTGACTGCCTCTCCTCCCTTCCCAGCGGTGCTCACCTTGTCTGTTACTTGGGTGTGCTGCGATCAGTTTTTCGTACATGTCTTACCTAGAGAGTCACACTGCCTGTGGCATTCTGGCACCATCTCTGTTAGCAATTCTACTTTAGATCATGTAGGAAGGAGCTAAATTGGGGCTATTAAAGAAACCTAATAGTCATAGTGTCTGCTAAATACATCATCTCTTCCCTTTTTTTAAAAAAAATATTTTTATTGATTTCAGAGAGGAAGTGAGGAGATAGAAACATCAATAATGAGAATCATTGATTGGCTGCCTCCTGTATACCCCAGCCCACAACCTGGGCATGTGCCCTGATTGGGAATCGATCCGTGACTTCCTGGTTCATAGGTGGACACTCAACTACTGAGTCAGGGCAGCTGGGTTGTTCTTTTCTTATAAAAGATTTGTTCAGCCAATAAAATTTGTAGCTGTTGATTTGTAAGATTAATAATAATCTATAAAGTTTTATTGAGAATGACTAGCTATGCTTAGTATTGAATTGATTAAAGAAATACAAACAGCTGCAACCATTTTTTTTTGGCACCATAAAGGAAGCCAAACTGAGGATGAAGCCAACACAGGTAGGCAGAGCCAAAAGAATCACAGAGAAATGGAGCTGAGTCCTGATCAAACTTCCTGAAGTTTATAATCCCCTTCACTTTACAGTTTTGTTAGCCAATGTTATCTTTGTTGTTTAAGGTAGATTTTGTTCCTTAATTGATAGAGAATTTCCAATGCATTAAGTGTCAACTTCAAGCTTCCTGTCACCCCAAGTCTCTTGCCTCCCTTCCTTTCTGACCTTTTTTTTGTTGTTAATCCTCACCCGAGGATATTTTTCCACTGATTCCCCCCTGTTCCCTTTTTTAAGAGAGAGTGGAAGGGAAGGGAAGAGACCAGAGAGAAACATCGTTATGAGAGACAAGTCTTTTGGTTGCCTCCCGCATACACCCCAACTGGGGCCGGGGATCAAATCTGCAACCAAGGTACATGCCCTTGACTGGAATCGAACCCATGATGCTCTAACCACTGAATAACTGGGTAGGGCTGTAATATATCTTAAGACACATGATACCTGGACATTCAAGTCTCAACTAAAAATCTTACCTCCTACTTCCTGGTGATGTAAGTTATGCACATCCCTCCCCTTCTTGATTACAATATCTACTTTCTAGAATTCTGATCACTGTCTGAAGCTGTTCTTTCACTTGTTGGGTTTTTTGTTGTCTGTTTCCTTGGCTACAATGTGAGGACCACCACGGGAGTGGAGTCATTGCCCAGGTCATTCATTTCTCTTTCCCAAGTATCTTGCGTGGAGTAAGTGTTGAATAAATACTTGTTGACATAATGAATGGGCCTTGAGTCTACATGCTGTGGGAGGGCCCAGTCAATGTGGAGCCCTCGGGGTTGTTTGGAGGACGCCGTCCGCTCCATTGCGTTATCTCTGGGCCCCAGTGTTCTCCCTTCGTCATCACGCAGCTGTTTCTTCTATGCTGCCTGGTCCTGTGCTTTCTCAAGAACCTGTTTCTTCCTTTAGAAGAAAACAAGAAAGGGTCCCGATTGTTCCGTTGTGAACTCAGAATCTTGAAGGTGGGGCAGGAGGGGAGGAAGACCTGACTTCGAGGAGCTGGAGGTAGCCCGGTGTGCCTGGGCGTTGAGCTGTCCTACTCACTCAGGGTACTTGATGAGTAGAAAGTGTGATTCTCTCTGGGAGGGCCCAGAGCAGGGCAGGGGTGGCCTTGGCTTACGGGAGATCAAAGTACAAGGACTGATCGGAGCAGAGGGTTTTTCTGTTTATTACAAAATTCATTACACAAATACAGCTGACCAGAAGGTCTAAAAACAGCCCAGACTCTTCCAACCGTCACCCATCCGTTGACACAAGGACATAGGCCAGGCTCACTCACAGGGGAGCCCTTCTTAGGAGAACTGCCTGTCCCGCAGATGGTTTGGAGTCTTGGGTCCAGCAGCAGAGAGGAGCCCAGCGTGCGTGGACAACCCCTTGAAGCAGCCCTTGGTGGCAGCTGCTCTGGGCGAGGCAGCAGCTTTAAGTTTCACAGTCCACTTGTTCCCACCACATAAGTCAAATCAAGGGATGGAAATACAATGAACAAAGCAGGAGGCTGGAAAAGCGGTCCTCAGAGAGGCTGCGAGTGGCAAGGGCACGGCGGGCCTCTGAGGTGCTGGAGATGTTTGGATCTGGATGGAAGTACAGAGGAGTCACTTTTAAATGATGTGTTACATGTTCATACATGTTATATACTTTTCTGTATGCATGTTATAGCTTTAAAAAGTTTAAATGTAATAAAAGCAAACAAAATGTAAAAGGCTAGGAGTGGATAAGGGGGCTGGTGATGGAGCAGAAGAGAAGAAATTATAGCGCAGAGAGGACGACGGAAGACCGCAAAGGTGGAAGACGAAGTCTCGGAGGTGGTACTGTTGGCCTCAGTTTCTCTTCTTCTGTCTGGATACTGGTTCTGCTTCTAGGTACCGGAGCCCGACGAGCATACCCAGGATTGAGAAGCCTTAAATACAGAGAGAACATTAGTGGCGGACATAAGCACAGTGCTCTCTCAGACCCCTTGTATGTCTGCGGGGGCTGGGACAGGTCCTGTGGGAAGTTAGGCTGGTTGCATGCTTACTTGCCACCATCAGGGGTGCCAAGACGCCGATGGTGGGAGCCGCGGTCCCGTACACAAACAGCTCAGAGAGGAAGTGCCCCAGGGCGAGGAGGAAGGTCCAGAGCGTGATGTGGTAGAGCCTAGGAAGGTACAGACAGAAATAGGAACTGAGGGACTGCTTGTTCCGAGCGTAGGAAAAGTGGTGACCAGGCCCGCTGCACACAAACACCCAGGAAGTGACTACGGCTGAAGGCAAAGGAGACCTGGTCCTGAGAAAGGCCTGGCCTGCTTGCTCCCATTCTCTACGAGGGAAAACGGAAGGTTTTAACTGCTAATCAGAGAGAACGGTCCAGGCATCCAGAGTGGATCTCCAAGTCCTAGCAAGGTGGTAAGCCAGCTACAGCAAAGCAGGGTCTGCATCCTAGCAATCCCAGGAGGGGAGGCAATTTTGGGTCAGCCATGCTTCTGTATTCCACTTACTCAAACGGGTTTGACTCTGTCATCCCAGCTCCCCTGGCCTGTGTTTGGCCAGGGGCTGTGCTCATAACGGTGGAAGCCACAGAACGAGGGGCCTGAATGGGGGATGAGCAGCAAGGACCTCGGGGGGCTTGTAGGTGCCCTTCTAATGTGGGCGGGTTATTTTGTCTCCGCTTGGGAAAACGGTCAGATGGAGGACCCGGTGACCACGTCGTGGGAAGAGAACTTGTTCCGCAGCTTTGGCCAAAAGGTGGGGGAGAGGTAGGTTACAGGATGATCCACCATCTGCATTGCTGATATCTTTTTTAACTGTGAAATTTTCAAAATTATGAAAGCTCTAAGCATACAAAAAACTATAGATAAGATACTGTAGTCCCTAATCAACCAGTACCCTGCTCCATCAACTGAGCATTTTGACATTTTTTTTGCCTCAGATACTTTTTTTTTAAAGAAATGAAATATTAGTTATCAGTTAAAAAGCATCCTATGTCTCCTTTTCCCATCTGATCCCATTCTCCTGCCTCCTCTCTCCCCAGAAGGAACCAATATTTTAAATGTGATGTTTATCCTCCCTGTGCAGGTCTGAATACATTTAGTAAATATGTACATATAGGAGTGGACTTTGAGTTTCCAGGGAGGGAGGGAGGAGAATCAGAGTGCCCATCAGAAGCACACAGACAGAGTCCCAGGCGCACAAAAGGCTGGAAGCTCAGACCGGCACCTGCAGCTGTCCTGACTGGGAGCGGGGGAATGGAGGGGTAAAGAGGTGAAGAGAAGTCTGAGTTGCTTATGCTCATTCCCAAAGCACAGCAAACAAAAGGCGTTACCCCTTATACCTATCAGCAATTCTTCATCATGGGAAAGGTCTTTTAAAATGATTACTCAACCTTCCCCCCTCCCAATCACCCGAGAGGTAGAACGGAAATACTAGTCTCGTTTTATACGTGAAGAGAGTGAGATGCAGAGAAGGTACATAATGAACTCGCTGCTACAGAGCTAGTTACTAATAGAACTGAGACAAGAGCTCATCTTCTTGTTTTCATTCTTCAGGCCCCAGGCTGTTTCCACTAAACTACACTGTTTCCAAAAATACACGTGAATCTAGAACGAGTAAACCACAGTTTCAAGTTAAAAAAAAAAAATTAAAAAATTAAGTTGTTGAGATCGCAGGGCTAAGAGCCCTGCTTCAAATCCCACTTGTGTCAGTCTTCCTCAGATTAAATTAGTTGGGTGTCTAATATGTAGATCTGCAAAATCAGGAATGAAAATCACTACCTCCCCCGCTGCTAGGAGACTTAGTCAAGGTCACCTAGACGAAAGCTCCAGGCAAAATACGGTAAATACCGTTCCTCCTCTCTTCCCCAGAGGCTGAGGGTCTGGATCAGAGAGAAAAAGATTTTAGTGTCAAGTTGGTGTTTGGGTGCCTCACCCACTGACCTGAGCAAACTTTTCCACCCTGATGTGGTGATGACTGTTGGTGGGAACAGGGCTCGAGCCCCCTCCAGTGGCCAGCACTTGCTACAGCACTCTAGACAAGAGGCTAGGATTGCCTGCAACTATTCCACACTAGCTTATTTGAGTAGCCTCAAAAGGCAGAACACGGAGGAGACCTGGTTCTCTTCCACCCTCCTCCTCTGCAAAAGCATACGGCAGTTTGCTTGTGGGTTCCTTTTCCCGTGGACTGTGAGTTCTGTGCATTCGTGCTTAAGGAGGCATGTGAGAATAAGGTATGTGTGGGTGGCTGCTCTAAAAAGAGCACACTACTTTAGTAGAAGCAAGGCTGATTCTTCAGGAAAGAAGCAGGGGCTTTGATGCAGGCCACTGGATCATGGTACGGCCAATCTGCTGTCAGCTCAAAAGAATTTTCAAACCTTAAAGACCTGTTAGGCCTTTTATGTTTTCTAGGCCTGGAAGGAACGGAACCTATGAACCTTTTATCATCATCCACATTCTAGGCGAATGTATAGAAATGAACAGGTCTCCAAGGGGAGGACCACAGTGGATATGTGTAGCACCTGAGTTCGAACAAAAGGATGCTAAAGCTCTTCCTTCCCTTACATACGTCTTGTTGCGGATGTCGATGGCACAGAGGCAACGGATCACTGATGAGAGCAGCGTCCAGATCCCAAAGGTCCGAGCTTGCAGGCCGTTCACTGTGTAGCAGAAAAAAGCAAGAGTGTTGAGAAGAAGAAGGTTAGGAGGCCTTCTAAACTCTTCCTACCTCCCTGGCAGTTCATGGGCGGCAGGGAGCTGAGCTGAGCCCCCTTTGGCTGGGCAGAGTGGAGGTGCTGGTGCCGTGCCTGGCGCTAGAAGGAATGGAAGGGATTCCAGAATGAGAACTGCTCAGCTCCTCCTCCAATAGCTATGGCTGGGCAGGGACTTCCAAGAGTGGAGATCCAACAAAAAGCCCACTTGGGCAAATAACCCCTGGATGGAGTAGTTTATACCTCTGCCCTAGAAGCCAGTGTTGGTGAAGCCCAGTGAGTCTGAACAGGACAGGTTTGAGGGGATGCTGCAGAGTGGTCTGGCAATACAAGATGCCTGGGAGGTCAGCAGACTTTTAAGGCTGGTGTAGGAGAGAACTCAGAAATAATGGCGCTTACATAGATGGCTACATCTGGTTTTTCAGAGACCTAAGTCCCTAGGTCTTCTCTGAATCCAGATCTGTATTATTTGAACAAAGCCCAAACCAGGCTGGATTCCTGGACACATGATAGGGGGACAAAGCACTGTTTCTCTAGTGTTTGCCAAGGCCACCCTGCTCTTGGTGGCTTCCTTCTGACACTGTTGTATTAAATATCTTATCCTGAAAGTATGGATCATATTCCGCCACAACAGTGGTTCTGGACCCTGGATATTTCTTAGAATCAACTGAAAAAGTTTTATGCAATTACCAAGACCTGGGTACCAGACCAAAGAAATCATACTCTCTGGAGGTGGGCCTTGGGCAAAGTGGTTTCTCAAACCCCCTCCCTCGGTGACTGTAAGGCACAGCCATTGATCTAAGGCATTAGTGGTTAGAATGCCAAAACAGGGACATCAGAGATACTTCTTTGCTGTTCTGTTAAGCAAGAGAAATGTCAAAGGACAAGACTGAAAAACTGAAGGGTCTATTCATGTTTACTTGGGCTTTTAGGATTTTCCAGCCTTTGGAAAACCAGACAGTGATACCAATTTCACAACCCCGAAGACCTTTGGATGTAAGCAGTAAGGTGAACAAAATGCCATATGCCAACCAAATACCTGGCCGTTAGCCCCAGTGAGCACGGTCTTTATAAACACCTTGGCAGCTTTGCTGATGAAAAGACTGAGGAAGTAGTGAGCTACGAAAGGGAACTATTTCACCAACCTTAACCAGATGAGGCATCAGGTGAAATTCTACCACAGTACAAGACAGTCCCCAGATCATGAGGAGGCAGTCTTCACTTCTGGGCTGGAGACAGACAGATGGACACACGCATGTGCAGATGTGTGCGTGTGCGCACGCACACATACCTACACACACACACACACACACACACACACACACACACACTCTTGCTCAGCTCTATGCCCTTCAGCAAGTCACATGACCCCTGGGCTTCTCTGCCTCAACTTAAATTCAAAGGGCTAGAGCAGATAACTGCTGAAAATCCTGTGAATCTACACAGGATGCCTCAACCATCCGAAGGCAGCATTTGAGGGTGAAAAAGGTGAATTGTCTTGCTCCCTTTTCCAGGTTCTTTACTCCCAGTATATTTGAGCTTTGTTCAAAAATGAGCCTTAGCCTACTTAGGTTCATTTTATACCCAGATGTTGCAGAACAATGAGCTAGGTCAGGCCTGAATCTGGGTTAGCTATAAATGTGACACAGAATTGTCAGCTGCTGTGAAACCGTGCCGCGGCTCCAACTATCCCACACATCAGTGCAAGGAAGGGCAAGCTGCAATGTGAAAACACTCTCAGCAAAGAGGCTCAGGAAACTGGGCCTTCTGCAGTTTCAGTTTGGAGACAAACCTGGGTGGTCGTGAGCTGTCTTCTCAGGGACTATGTCACAGTTTGGGAAAACCTTGGATTGGTAACTATCTGCAACATGGAATGTAACCATGTGTGTTCCATGATGTGATTTTTGAAGACAGCTGAGATAACATGAAAAACTTCTTTATGGCTTTCTAGTGGGGCATCACAGAGTCACCAAGTAATTCTATTTCCTTCCTTGCCCCTTGCATGCTCCCTACCAGGGATTGAGCCTGCAACCTGGGCATGTGCCCTGACTGGGAATGGAAACAGCCATCCTTTGGTACATGGGACGATGCCCAGCCAACTGAGCCACACTGACCAGTGTGCCCGTGTAACGCTTTCTTACAGATTGACTAGGGCCGTGTAAAATGAATGAAAAGGTATTCAGGGAAGCTTTGAGGGGGAAAATGGGCCAAGTGCTATCCATAAAGTTTATTACTCTAGTGCAGCGGTTCTCAACCTATGGGTCGCCAACCTGTGGGTCGGGACCCCTTTGGGGGTCGAACGACCCTTTCACAGAGGTCACCTAAGACCATTGGAAAACACATATATAATTACATATTGTTTTTGTGACTAATCACTATGCTTTAATTATGTTCCATTTGTAACAATGAAAATACATCCTGCATATCAGATATTTACATGACGATTCATAACAGTAGCAAAATTCCAGTTATGAAGTAGCAACAAAAATAATTTTATGGTTGGGGGTCACCACAACATGAGGAACTGTATTAAAGGGTCGCGGCATTAGGAAGGTTGAGAACCACTGCTCTAGTGGTTACCAAAGGCTACTAGTATATAGGCAGCAGCAGAATCACCTACGTAGTTATTAAAAAATAGATTCTGGACTCCACCCAGGGGGTGAAAGTTTCAGGGAAGAGGTTTGGAGAGGGAAATGGCATCTGCACGTTGTTTGTTTGTAGATCTCCTAGTAAGTTATTCTGATGTGCAGCCTAGTCTGGGAACCACAATGTACAAAAGATGCAGTTCTTTGACTTCTTACCCAGGTCTGGCTTGCCGGTGTAGAGCTTTTCATAGAGAAAGGTGTGGTCCCGGAAGCTCTGAAGCGTGTTCCCCATGGCTATGATGGACACCATCACCAACCAGCTTCGTAATATATTCAGGAAACGGCTCATGGTCCCCTCAAATCGGAGAGGGCTTCTTGCCCTGGAAACAAAGGCAAAGGATGTGAGACAACAGATGGTTCCTCTTCTATAACCATGAGCTCTCTCACCCCTGGGTCCCACTCATGAGGGCTGTACTAAGCTTGTTTGGCCATTTATTGATCGCTTCATAAATTCCTCTGCAAGCCCCCTAAGCTCACCCTCCCCAGTTACCTTAATACACTACTCTTACCTGCATGGAATTAGCACACTGCCTTTGAATATTTCCTCTAAACCAAAGTGTGCTGACCTTTACCCAGAGTGAAAAAGGCTAAATAATGCAGTAGGCAGAAATGACAAACCCAGTGGAAAAATTGGAGATTCAGAAAGAGGGAGAAGAGGGGGTATACAAATATTACTATAGTAACCAAGTGGATTTATGCATAAGCTTACAGAAATTGGTCTCAATATTTAGTCATAGTAACAGTGGTGAATCAACAGTATACTTTCCAATAAATGGCACAGTAGTTATCTTTGACTTGAGTAATTTCTTTAAAATATTACCCTACATCAGAACACTTTTCTCTTGGCTCAATCAGCCCTCTTATATCTTTACTTGTAGACTGGTTTTTCATGTCATTCTTTCGCAAGGCAAGTGGCTAAAAGGTAATTATAAATCTAACAGACACCTGCCTGGCTATTGATGACAGATCCTCCCAAGCGCATAGAAGCCTTACACATTTCAGCGGAACCAATAGTGAGGGCAGTATTTACATCCTCAGGTTTTCTCTAATCTGGTTCTGAGGTATACCATAAACAAGAAGAACAATCTAAAGGTTAAAAATAAACTGCGGTGACTTGAGAACTAGTAAGAAATTATATGAAGAAGGAGATAGCAATGTCGGCATTGGGTTGTAGGAGAAATTACAGTAGCTAACAGTTACTAGGCACTTGTCTGTGCCATGCACTGTGACACGCACTTAACATATATTGTAGACATTATTAATATTTCCATTTTACAGATGAGGGTTGGCACAGAGAGGGTAAGTGATTTGCTTGAGGTTTTACAGCTAATATATGGCCAAGCTGAGATACGAAGCATGGTCTGTTGGACTCTACGTTGCAATACTGCCTCACTGTTTGAGAATATTTTGACGAAGTTTCCATTTTGGAGGGAGACAAGCATACCATACCCACTTTTGTCTTGAAGTTGTATAGAAAATAACATTAGATTATGTACTTTTTTAAAAAAAGCTTAGATTAACCTTTGCTGAGCATTGATTTCAATGAGCTTGACTTAAATAAAACCCATGTAGATAAAGAATTTAATAATGGAATTATTTCTTCCCACCTTCATTATGGTTTTTTGGCCCACGGTTTATCTGCTGTCAGGTTAACTTCTTGGGCTTGAAGTGGTGACAAACTATCAGGCTTCCTTTGTCACTCTGGCAGTAAAAGTTTCAGTATGGTCCTACACTACCCAGATGAAACAGATATTACAGTCAGCCAAGGCTCAAGACAGTGTGAAGCACCAAGAAACAAAAAAAGAACTAGAGAGGAGGAAGGGTGAATGGAGGAATCCCTCAGGGAAAGGTGGATCACACAGTGGGCTTTGTCCACGTCTAGAGAGCATAGGGCTCTGCGGACATCACAAGCAGTTACAGCCAGGGCCAAGATCTCCCCACCCCCACCCTCCTCCCTATTTTCTTGCCCTCCCTCAGTAGGAGGCTCTTCCAAGGGTCCGAAAAGCTGCACGGATGGCCCCCTCTTTTTGACATGACTTATGCCTTTCATTTCACAGAGGCTCGTAGAAATCCCAACAGGTAGCTGGTGAGGGCTGAGCCTGAGCATTCTTCTGAGCTGCTCTCCCACTCCCTCGACCTATTTTCCTAAAGCTTGAGGGCCTAGAGTATCCAACAAACACGATTCTCAGCTTTTGCCCAGGCAGGTGTGGTGTTAAAACCTGAGCCAGGAGAGAGGCGTTCCTATCCTGGCCCTACCATTAAGTAGCTGTGTGACCCTGGGCAAAAATCATTTACACTTTACAGCCTAGGTTTCCTCACCTGCGAATTAGAGATTTAAAAAAATACAATCTCAAGGAATATTCTCACCTGGCGACGGAACCCCAGCCAGCAGCAGCCGCTGCAGCAGCAAAGATGCAACCCCCAAAACAGCTCCAGCCTGGAGTCCACCCGAATCATTTGTCCCCACCTCCGCCCTCACCCGGCTCCAGGATTGGGCCATTTCTGTCAATCTTCGCTCTGATTGGCTGTCTCGGTTCTGCTCAAGCAGGAGATGGGGCGTGAGCCCCTTTACTGCCAATCAGCGGTAGCCACTGCCCAAGTGTCCGCAGGGGTCCGCCGCCCGCTCGCCCGCACAGTGAACCCGCCTGTGGAGCGTGGCGGAAGGACTCCGGTCTCGGATTCAACCCGTTAGGGGCGGGGGAGAAAAAGTGGGGAAAAGAAGTCGAGATTCTTCTGCTGAGCGTGGTCTCCGAGCCCGCGCTGCGCGGGGGTGACGACATTCGTCGGCGCCTGAAGCCGAGCGTTGTGGGCGCCGGGTGGCGGGCGCCTGCGCAGTGGCCCCGAGCGGGCGGTTGCTGGTTGGTTGTTGTAGTAACCGGGGAAGCAGCCGTCCGCGGCCGCCGAGAGCCGGGCTGGGGAAGGAGGA